TCCATAATCAACAAACTTCATTTTATAAACACACTTGCACAGTTCAATGACCCACAAGCGATCCTCGTATTTGAAACATGGTGTTCTTAAGATACACTTGTCTCTACTCTGCTGATTCCAAACTACCACCTATTTCGAAAAGATAGCTGCGACAGAAAAGGTGGAGGTTGTATCATATACTTGCGCAAAATATTTACAGCTAAAGCTATAGACCACTCACAATCAGAAAAGATCCCTGAATCTATTTGGCTGTCGGTTGCAGGTGTCTCATCTTACATACTGTTCGCATTTAACTACAACCCATCGAATGTGTGTAACGTATCACCAACATCACTTCTGCATTTGACTTCGCATCAGAGTTGCCACACAGCCAGAAGAGCATTACCGGCGATTTCAACCTATCGAAAATACGCTAGTCATCCCACCCAATATTTAGTTTGAACGCTATTTTTCTTTCTTCCATCAGAGCTGAGGACTGGACACAATGGATTACCAGTCCAACCAGGTCCGCCAATGTACTAGACTTACTATTTACAATGGGGATATCCAAACCACAGACCGAGATCTTAAACAATCTCCCTGGCAGCGACCATAAAATGATCCGATCAGTTTCCAACTTAAAATAATCAATAAACTCGCCTCTACACCGCCAGTTGCAACCCAGAAGATAAAGTGGGAAAGTTTTCAACAGTTTCTTAGTTTCTCCGACTGCGATGTATTTTCCCTCGCTACCAGTGTCTACATCGCTGTGGAGCAGTTCTAGACACAAATCCATTACGCTACAGCCCTTCTTGCTCCACAATGTATTCATACCCCGCATGTCTCCAAAGATTCCGTCGAGCACTTACTCAGCAAGAAAACCAGAAAGTTAGCTGCAAGATACAGAAGGGGCCATGACTTTCCACTTAACTTACAAATGCATGAATTTACCACCAGAGTCAAACACGCACAATTAACACGATGAAAATATAAAGAACATATAGCCCTACGGACAAACTGTAAAGCTAGGGAGCATGGCAAAATACCGCATCATAGAACCAGTGACCGCTCTCCTCTGAGTACCGAAATTGTTGATGGTGAGGGTCCCTTACTCCATGACCCATCTAAAATCTGTGAAGCATTTAGTGACTTTTTTGCCACTTCAATGAGTTGCGAAGCTGACCGTGTGCCTGTGTGCACAGAGCTCAACGAAAGAAACCTCTTAAGCAGAGTCGATATCTCGCCCAACGCTATCCATCAAGTTATCAAATTAATCAGGCCATCTTCCAAGCTGGGATCTGATGGCATTTCACCAACCACCATTAAACTAGGAGGACCTGATATACCATTGCTCCTGATGAGCATGTTTACTCTACCGCTGGAATCTAGCCACTTTCCAGACCAATGGAAAACGTCATTTATTATGCCTCGGCATAAAGGAGGTCCCAAACAAACGATTAATAACTACAGACCAATCTACCAGACTCCGATAACCGCTCGGCCATTCGAAAAACTGGACAGAGAGATGATGACTTGTGATCATCAATTCAACCTCGCGGGTTTCAGCGTCGCGTGTCCACTGTACGACAGTGAGATGGATCGGACCATTACTAGTGGCTTCGATACTGATGCGTCATCAGTAGTCAGTTAGGTTATCGCCTCACGTCATCACTATGAGTCATTCAAGGGAGCGTGCTCGGTCCCTTACTCTTTTTGCTCTACATCAATAACATCACCACATCTGTAAAACATGGTACATCATTTTTATTTGCTGACGATATCAAACTAGTCTATAAGTTTCGGCGTGACGAGCTTCACAGGACACTACTGCTCATTCAAGATGACTTACATTCCCCTAAGTCATGGTGCTGCACATGGGCGATGAACCTCTCGGCTAAGACATCAAGCATCATATCTTACGGCTGCGGCATCCCCGAAGGATCTATCACCCTAAACAATGAACGCGTCCCTACACAACTGTTCACGCGAGATTTTGGCATTAGGTACTCGTCTACCTTCAATTTCTCCGAACAGGCCCAATACCAAGTAGCACGTGCCAGACAGTCTATGTTTAATATATCAAACAAAATACACACAACTCGTGCTACAGTTGAGCTTTTCAAGCTAAGCACTCGCCCCATCCTCGAATACTGCAGCATACTATACGGAAATATGAGAAAGAGTGACAGAATTGCTGTGGAGCATCTGTAGAGGTCAGTTACTAAACATCCGACTGGTAAACACTCTGCTGAGTTATCGAGAACGTTGCAACGAACTTCATCTCGAACCACTTTGGATTCGGCGATTAAAACACAACTTGTTACTGCTTTTCAACGTGCTACAAAAAAGACCTATTCCGACCTCCCTACACTCAGTTTACAACATTTCTCAACTCGAGCGCTTCGCAACAAAGGTTTTACACTGAATATACCCAAGGCTAGAACGAACGTCCGAGCTAATTTCTTCCTGGTCACATATAGCTTATCTGTGGAATAAACTACCGATTACACTCGGGTCATGTGACAAGGTGGCAACATTTAGTAGCAGACTCGCCAATTCCCTTGATTTAATTACCAGAACCTCTATATTCACATGGAAAAAATCCCTCGATGAGCTATTCCAAGAGGGGCCCAAAAACATCTAAACACCAATGTTTACATAACTAGGCTTTGGCCTCAACCAACTGCCAGAATGTTAATACCTAAAACGCATATCTCAATACTCCACCTATGCATGTCATCCAAGCCAGAGCATGGATACTTCTGTACAAATTGATCTGTGCCACTATAAACACAGTTTCTCTCATCAAGAGAAATACACGTATTATTATTATTATTATTATTATTATTATTATTATTCTCTATTCCAGTGCAAGGCGGCACAGAAAAAGAAGGATTTCTTGACTGCCAGGAAGTGGTCACCTAATCAGTCAGTGCCACTTAAAGTGAATGTGAAAAACGGAGCGGATGGATGAGTTCATGGGACCAGTAGGACCCATCAGTTGTGACAAACACAGATCCAAGATCTGATTGGCTTGCACAGTCCATCTGCATAGTCGGTTCTTTAATAAACCCAGGATTGGGCCATGGAGGACTGCCCATACGGATGTATTGCGCTCAGTATTATCACTGGAAGACATCAGCAAGGCGTCGGCACTTCGCGCGTAAGCCTCACTGCCACACAATCATGTACAAGATCCCTCGTACCTACGGATTACAAGCCAGATGTCCGAACCACTCATCATCATCATTATACACGTTAGCTAGAGGTGGGAAAAAACCTCCGCTATTGTGCCGCAATACATGAAGGAAATACATGCATACATATAATACAATACACAAAGGAAAAATAGATACAACAGTTGCATGCCAGCTGAGTTACCAGCAACGGATAGGCATCGTTCCGGTAAGCTACCAGCCAGCCACTAGGCAAAAAGAAAAAAATTGTTTTACCCTACGAAATGAGATCGTAGATGGAGGGGGAGGCTAAAATAAATGGGGAGGGACAAAGAAACTCACAGCATGAACGCCACTGAGGTCGGCTCCTTGCCATGTCAGCAAGTATATCCAGCCAACCGAAACACTCGGTCACCCGTTGAATCCAGAGATACTTAGCCTACGGAGTAGTGGCGACTGATAGTACCGCGACCTAAAAACATTTCTTATGTACATTGAAATGGAACATCTATTCCACAAACAGCCAAGACTCAAAAAGCGAAAGACGAAGGAGTCATTTGAAGGGATAGCTACAAGTCGTAACTAAATGGATTGTTCGCAATGAGCATTGGTAAGAGGAGAATGCGGTGGTAAGACTAGAACATAACAAGAGTTGAGGCACGTGAGTCAAAATGAGCGGTGAACATGGCGATGCGAAACAGAATCGATGAGTATCAAGAGGCAAATCACTAGCGTCAACATAGTTGACTTGCTAAGGAATCTACATGATTCAGGTTGCGCAGCCATAAACCTGAGTTGAGGATACCATGTATTTGCGTTGCCAGATAGGTTTAGAGTAGAGATAGCAGATACAAAAAAATAACACCTAGAATTGCCTCATGTGTATTTAGCAGGCAATACCAGACAGACTGTACACAAGTGATTGTTTACGGTAATACAAACAATCAGCATGGAGACAACCCGGGGACAGGTAGCAACCATTTCATTGTGACCTGCGGTTGCTGCGCCAGCGTTCCGAACATGGAGGATTAGCAGCAACCGACCGAACGAACTGTTGCCGACTGGATAACCGAAAAAGTCACGCAGTGCAGTTTCCAAGGTGTAGTTCATGTCCAGAATATTCAGTGGGCATGCAAATGCGACCTAGTTTTCTATCTATCTTGATGTATGTAGACTGTAGGATACCCGGTAGTTAAAAGTCCACAAGTGGTTTTACCTAAGTGGGTTTTTATTGAGCATTGTGGGGATGTGGATGTCAATGACACAGCAGCATCCATCCATTACGCAGAGAACTAGGGAAGGAAGATCAGTAAAAAAGAATCGGAAGGAATGTCACAAAAGCTGGCGGAAAAGAAAAAAGCATCAGTAATCATCTGTTTTCGCTTTATCACCGTGATTTAAAATGCAACTACGGTGAACATCTCGAAGCTGAGCGAAGGCAAACGTGGTTGAGGGCCAATATGACGAGCATGGTTGTATGTAAGTTGAACTACTGGCCGAAAGCAAATGCCGAAGCAGGAAATGATCAGGGTTATCAGCTTGATTGTAAGGTGGTGGGGGCTTAGAGAGCATATATAACACCAATGATTTTCAAGTGAATGAATGTCGCCCGTTACAAATGCTAGCTAAATGAGCTTATCCGAAGTACAATTACTAATCAATGTAGTGGGGTGAGGTGTAAAGAACTAAGCGAAGTAATCCTACTAACCGAAGAGGCACATAAACCGTGTAAGCTCGCTAAAACCAAATCTTGTTAAAGTTGGAATAAAAACAAGTGAGTTCGTTAGTAAATTTAACAGAACAAGTCGCCTATAGCGGTCTGCAGAGCAAAGGAATTTTACTCACCGATGCCGCCCCCAGCGTGTGGAGGGCACCCGTAACGGAATGCGTCGATATAGGCCTTAATTTTCTCAATTTCTGAAACAAAGGTAAATGCATCCACAAAACAGGTGTGAAGAACAGGTGAAATCTCATCGTCAAAGGAGGTTCCAGTATGATGCCCACCCTGTGTGATTGGAAGTATATGTTTTCACACCTGACTACAACAGTGAGCACAAATGGTCGAGAGGTGTCCGTGCGACGATAAGAGTGGTCATGAGTAACCAGCAAAACCCAATCAGTGCAATAAAGAAAATTCGAAGGAAGGAAATCATGAAAATGTGGAGCTAACTCACAATGACTCGAGTGGATAAACTCGCATGAAAAACCCAGAGGTTATAGTAAAGCTCAGCAAATGTAATGTGCACTAAGAAGATACGCGTACAGATTGTAAATGATCGACTTATGTGAAGCCAGTGTTTGGTAAATATGTAAGTATGTAAAAGGGTGATGAAAGGATCGACAATAAAATTGTTTGTCTGTGTGGGTGGGAAGCAGTTTATCCAATGATGGAAGCATTCTTCGTGCCTAGGAGAGACATACAGAATGTAAGCTTATTCAACGCTCGAATCCGGGGCAAAAGGTGACATGGAAGGCAGGATGGGCTGGTTCAATTCGGCTTACTAACTTGCATCTACGCGTTAAGGTGCGGTAGGATCTAGCTGTCCTGAGACACAGCAATAAATCATAATGATGATAATAATCAGAGTAACAGAAATGAAGAAGGGGGATGAAAATCAGTAGAGCGTTAAACTAGAAGAGATCGGTGAGAGTGTGTCAAAACAAGTTGCTTTCAACAAGGGTAAAGGTTAGTGACCTTCGGTAACCCATGTTCTCCTGGGTGATGGAACTGCCACATCCAACCCATAAAGGAAATTTAAAAGTCGCAAGACAAGGATCGCACAGAGGCAATTCACAAAGCTTACCAACGCCATGATGCAATGCACGCTTCGTAAGTAGAGTTGGATCATGGATGCGTTGAGCACCTGACATGATTTCCTCACCTCTCATGAAAAAATCGTAAGAGTTGGAATATTTCTGTAATAAAGAGTACATATTGATGGGAAAGAATCAGATTGGTGACCATTGACCAGAGGGCTAATATGGGAATTGGATGTGTCAGAAAAGTCACGAGAGAAGCAGTTGAGATACGATGAAAGAACAAAAGACAAACAGATGATTGCGAAACAAAAGAGGCTGCAACTGATTCCCGAGCGCGTAAGTCCATACTACAAGAAGAGAGACTAGAGGGAAACGGATATGCACATTGAACTTAAGGTACTGTTTCGAAGATCAACTTAACCCGAAAACTAAGTGAGTTATGGTCAGGGAGCAAGCAAATCTTGGAAAATACGACAAGTGGCTACTCTAGGCAGCACGAAATCGTTTCGATCCCAGTAATCACTTAGGTACCGTAAAGCAGGGAAATACACTGCAAAAGTTCGGTGAAGAGCATGCTCCGCCGGGTATTAAACAAGGTTGAAATAAACGGCTCAAGCTGTCTCAGAACAACACGGTAACCGGTGAAGCATCATGGTAACAAAGACCACTTGGGGAACGCAGTCGCAGTTGGACACGATAAAGTCAGGAATGTGGGGCGCAAGCAAAGAACACGAAACAAATGAGCTTGTATTATAGAGTAAAAGGTCTAGTTATGTAGGTTGACCCAAACTAATAAACAAGCTCAGTTAAAAGGATCTTAGGACAGCAGCTGAGAGACCAACCTCTTCGTATGGATGTGGCATGGTGTAAAAGGCACGAATATCCAATGGAAACTTGTCCAAGATGTAGAAATCGGTGCCGTACTTCTGCTTTATCAGGCGCCCCAGGAACTTTTCAGCTGGCGTGCTCAGATCATCATAGTCACCCAACTCCCATCCAGCATCACGAAGCATTTGAATCGCCTCACGATATTCTAGTTTCAAACTGGAAAAAACAAGATTGGAGAAGTGCAAAGATCAACGAGGGATATGAACGATGATGAGAAAGAAACAGCTGAATGGAGCACAACACTGGCAATGAAGTTAGGGCCATTGCGGTTACTCATGGTTCGTAAATGTCGAAGTAGGGCGGACGTAGAGGTAACGTGAAGGAGTATCGCTGAGTCGTGTGTCAGAGGTGCATCACGCAACCCAGATGTCGTAGATGCGGTATGTGTGGATGAAGAATGTTACGCAAAAAAGATGTTGCCTTATGAGCTGTAGAAAAGGGAATTAAATGTGCCCAAAACGATTCTAGATACTAGCGAGTAGGGAATTATTAATATAATTAAGGGTCCTTCGCTGTATCATCCAAGCCACAGAGTCCTCCATACTGCCGGGAAAAACCCTAAGTCAAGCATATAAATAATCTCCTACTCATGAGTATATGCAAATTTGAGCTCTAATAGCTTAATACTATAATGTACACATATTTTGTCCGTGGAAATCTTGATTCTGGATGCCAACTCTGTCCTCTACAACATAGGTAACCAGATTGGAAGGTGAAGATGAGTTACGCTATATCACAATAAGCTTACGTGTTATAACGGCCCGCGATGTTCTACGTAACCTAGTGCTATAACTAGAGTATACCGCTAGTGATAATGGGTTCGGATCCCGATAGAGCCAAACAATGTGCACTGATGATGTGTCCCGATAGGAAGAAACGTCCGTCCGGGCGTGTGCACTATCTGATTTGGAAACCATAGCGAAAAATCCTCAAAATGACAAAAATTACGGCTCGAAAATTGGAACTGAGAGAAATGTGGATACAAATAATGGTGGTTCCGTCGCAGCCAGTACCGAATCAGATAGTCGTGCACATGCGCTAGATCGCAGTTAGCTTGCAAATCATGACGGTCCGAAGCTGTCCCCCGTGGCTCAGTGGCATAAGCTGCTGACTGGCGGTGCAAGCCGCTGGTGGTCATGGATTCGAATCCTGATGGATCCGATGGATGCGCACTACGGATGATGCTCAATAGGCTGAAACTACAGTCTAATGCTTTTCCGGGCATGTGGACGACTATCTGATTTGAAAACTGGCTGCGACGAAACCACAATTATTTATATCAAAAATCCCCCACTCATGACTACATCAAAGGGTGGATACATTTTGAGACTGGTGAATTTAAAGAATCGCTCGATGTAACAGCCGGAGAATAAGGTGCACGGCTGAGGTTACCAGGCGCAACGGCGCAGGTAACAGACGCTGCTCGTGTGAGACAGCGCAGCAGGAACTAGGACATGTATAACAACAAACAGCCAAAGCGATAGGTGAGTACTGCGAAGTGGGGTCACGAGAGGCACGGGCTAGTAGATCATCCAGCGAAATGTAATCGACGGAAGTGAACAGGAGCTTGGTATTAGCGGTCAAATAAAAGATTCGAAGAACACAAGTGCATTCATGAGATCAAGCGAAAGCACACAATGGAAATGGCTGGAAATCAAGTAATATAAATGTTGTGCAGTTGACTTTTGGATCGTATAAAACATAAAACACCGGGGAATTACGTAGGTTCCAGAAATTCGAAAGGCGTCGATTTGTATTGCTTGGAAATAGTTGCAATCTCCGAGGCGTACCTGATGAAGCGATAGGGAAAAGGACCCAAATTGTGAAGAAAGTAGGTCAGCACCACATGATCAGTTGAGTTGGTAACATAATAATACAAGGAATAGTGGAAAAACCCACTACCCATCTGATGGTACAGAATTTCAACAAATCAATATCGAGCTATGTAGTAGTAGTAGTAATCGTAATAGTAGTGGTAGCAGTCGTTGTTGTAGTGAGAAAAAAGGCAGCAAACTGCAACAGTGGGGTTATTTAAGCTGGGTAACTGAGCATGACTCGTGCACAAAGTGCGGTGGGCATACCCGTCTAGGAACATGCTGCCGGATAATACTATTAACAATAATCATAAAAAATGGCAGTCAAAAAGGGATGAGTGAAATTAAAATAATATAACAGTTAGAAGAGTCAAGATTCAGAACAGATAGGGTGGCGTCGCTGACTTTGTGGCTGCCAGTGATGTAACCAATACTCCTGAACACGAACCAAAAGGGGGACAAGTGCTAATGCTAAGCGATCCTACAGTGAGCTTCGTTCCGTTGGAGTATTGCCTGACCATCTCGGAGTTTCAGCCAAACAGATATAGCACTGGAAAATAAGAGGCATAGACAGCTTCTTCACATGCAAATCGCGTAAGCCAGAAGGCTTGGGCGAGTTCAACAAAAATCTAAAGGGGCACGGAATGATCTGCAGTTGGCACACACAAAGTGATGGACTGTAGTGTCACTCAATCGGCGCTCTCATCAGATGAGAGTAAAGCTATGCAGGCATCAGTGGCAGAACAAGACCAATCATCTGGTGTCTTCAGTGCACACAGTCACAGTTCTGATAGGGAGGTGAGTCTTTGAAAAGTCCCATGAGCATTATCAGTAAATCCATCAACCTCTTGGGTGAGGTAATCACCGGAATTGGCATAAACCAACCTAAATAAGTAAACCCACCAATCAAATTGATTGCTGGTTCAGTGACAAGGAGAAGCGGTGACAAGTCGGCCCAGTCCTCTAACAATACCCTGTATTTTGAAGGTGCGGAATCCACGGCAGAAGCGAGCATCATTATACGCAGTAGCACATGTTGAAGAGGAACAATGTGAGCAAGGAAGCGAAAGCGTTTGAATTATACTGGTTCACCTCGGATGAGGATCCGTGTCTGTTCAGAATGACGGGCGTGAGCAGCTTAGAGAGAACATGGGTAGGACGGATATCACGATCATTTTTACAGTAAGTGCACTGATGCTATTTGAAGATGGGAACGAAGATTGACATCCGCAGGTCAGAACGCGATTATTCCGGGTGCTAAACAGTGTCGAGTAGAGTGAATAAGGCAGTCTCTCATCTTCAGTATGCACACTATCCAGAAGTGGGAACCAACTCAGCTATCGTTCCGTAATAGATGAGAAAGGAAAAAAGATGAAACGTAGGCACGCCATCTGAGTCAAAGGATGGAGGTCGTTCTAGAGATCTAGCAGCCGGCCATTGTGCCGGAAAAAGGAAGTCGCATTATGCCCCAGAAATGAGAACCAGGATGGGAGATATAAAGTAACTTAACACAAACGCTATTGAGGTCGATTTTCTCCATATCAAAAAGTGTATCTTGCCAAATGTCTTTTGAAAACCAACTATGGAGCCGAGACTCCAATCAAGGCCAACTTCGAACTAAGGACCTTAATTCCTCTTGACCATATCATCGGTTGGTCGCCCCTCTTCTTCTTCCATCCACATTTATGGCACAAATAACCCACGCCGCGGGACTCGGTGTGCTGGCATGCGTAACATTTGGATCAATCATCGGAGCCTGGTTCATGGAATAACGGTACTGAGCGATCCACTTCCTCCTTCTGTGCCATAAAAAAGGCGCCGAACACGCTCATTGCGCACGCGGTGTTCCTATGAGATATGAGCCACACTACGAAGGTACCGGTGGTCGAATGTAACTAGCATCATTACGTATGCTGATCAGATGGGCCAGGCTCCACAACCGTACAGTATGCTTGAACGTGCAGCTGCATTGTACATTCTACTCTTCAGAGAGGGTGAGGCCGCACCGACGCTATAGGAGGTGAAAATTAGCAAAAGCGTCTCAGGCTTTGGCTATACGATCTTTGACCTCATCTTCGATTCCACGGGCGCTGACACAACTGCCTAAGTAGTTGGATTTCTGAACGAATTCCAGCTAATCCCAATCAAAAGTCTGCGCAAAAGGCGGTCCCTGCCAATCCTAGAAGAAAGCTTGCACTTTGAGTGTGTAAAGCCAAGCCCGGAACGGTTGCCAGCTAGTGTTAATCTGTCTAGTACTGCTTAGCACGTTTGAGAGCTATCACAAATCAGGGCAATGTCGTCAGCATACCCCAAGTCATGTCGGGAGAATGCGAGTGTCATGACCTCAATATCGAAGTTAGAGGAAGGGTGACAGCGCGCATCCTCACCTCACACCGCTGGAGACATTGAAGGGTGGCGACAGTTTACCGTAAGCCTTCATTCTGACCCAGTTGCGCGAGTAAAGCGCTGATAATTAGTGAGTAGCAGATGGATTATTTTTCTGGAAATGATTCGTCGCAGTTAGACAGCCCACACATATCCAGGAAGGCGCTAGGCGGCCGTTTCCTCCTAATGGGACTTGTCAGTAGCGCCCACCTGCTGAGTCCTACCGGATTTGAATTCTCGACCATAGTCTCACGATTCAGTGACCCATGCTACAGAGTCATGGATGACAGCGGTGGACTGTAATGGCTGATTTTTAATTGTGATGTAACGCAGCTCATCCTCCACTGTCATGCGTGTTATGAACGTGCCGAGGGTAGGGTTGGCCGTCAAATCTACGACTTCATTTGCAAGCCAGCACCGACTGAGGTGGCATATGAGTTAATAAGGAGATTATTGGTTATTAGTAAGTAGTAGGAAATTTTATTTATTAAACAGATCCCCCGAATTTGATGAGGGCCAGGGAATATCATCTGGTCGAGCGGCCTTATTCAAGTTCAACAGTCCGATCTCATGTTCTATTTCTGAGCGAGACGGCGGATCCAAAGAGACAGCCGAATGAGCATGGCGATCACCGGTTGGTGAGAAATCTAACAATACCGGCCGATTAAATTGCCTTTGATAGTGTTCACGCCAACGCTCCAAGCATTTTGACAAGTTGTGAATAGGGTGTCCTCACTTATCACATATAGTTTCACTAACAACACGTCCTCTGCTGCCCGTTTCCCGTATCAGACGGAATAAGTTCCGGTGATTAGCAAGGACAGGGTCTACTTTCATCTCTGACACAAGATGAGAAAAGCAGGATTCACGCTCTCTTCAAACTAGCACGGAGATTTGCCCAGAGATGTTTGCGAGTCTCATTGTGTTCGCTTCCAGCCGGAAGGTGCCGGTGAGCGTCGATAAGTCCCAGAGACTGTGTGAAGACCCAATGTCCAGATTGGCTATTAGATTTACCACATAAGAGTTTGCTTGCTTCTAATAAGGTCGGGCGAACTGCTGCGAGTAGAGTCTAGTGAACATGCGACCAGTGACGTTCAAATGTGTTCAATGAGCGCTCACTCAATCCGAATGCCAGCGTAGTTCGATGCCAAACAGGTACTCAATAGCCCTGTGCGACTTCGAAGCGTTGAATGAGTTAGTCAGTCGGACGGCACACATCCCGCTACTGATGGGGATCCAATCAACCAAAGCAGCTAAGGTCCGGGAAGTCAGGGCAATAACCACACTGGCTTGGCCAGCATTCTAAGCCGCATCTTCTCCGGATAGGCGTAGTTAGAAAGTACAACTAGTGTCATCTGAAAGGGCTCGCAAAGCAAGCACAGAGCAGGAGCCTCGCAAGCGTTTCCGATAAGCAGCAGACATCGATCAAGAGGGTCTGTAGTGTACGAGCAAGTGCTGCTTGTTGGTCAAGCTGCAACAATGTGCGGACATTGAAGCATGCCAATCTGAGGGAGGATCAAGCGCTCCAAAAAGAAACCGATGAACTGCGATTTTCCGCTTGGTTGGACGACGGCCTGTCGACAGGGAAGGAGTGGCGCTTCGTGCTTATTTGTGAGTTAAAACTAGAAAACAAACGCCTATCAAATCAAGGTGGAAGAGCGCCAAGAATTAGCGGGTTGAAAACAGAAGAAATAAAAGTGGAGTTCCAACGGAACAAGGGGTAAAAAACGTAAGGGGGTAATAAGTAGACGAAATCCGAGCAGTCGCAACGAAACCCCTAACCGCCTGTTCCATGCAGTAGATAGGGCGCCGTTTATGATCCTCTGCGGCAGCCCGATCATCAAGAGATTATTTGAAGAAATCATAATATTGTATTGCGTGGGTAGGACACTGTCAGCTTGCTCGGGTCTAGACAAGAGAACGAGTGAAACTCACAACCAAAGCCTTCGGTTCAAAAATATAACTGCAAAGTAGCGGGGTTTGGCACTGGGATACAAAGAGTACGTTTATGGGATAAGGTGCCACCAGCACACCAACACCCAACCTAAGAGGGCCAGCAGACTGTTTGTCTGGCCTCTAACCATTGATCAGTTTAGTATGAGAGGCTCTGAAGGTACATAGCTCAATGGGTCGCCGAGGCACGCAAACCATCGCACCCCAACAAGGTCCAGCCTGACTGCATTCCCTAATGAGTCGCCACCGTTCTCCAACAGCGAGGGTGTAAGGTCAGCGACTTTCTTGAGCGTCAGTAGCATCAGATCGTGCTGGATGTCGTCCATGATGGGGAATGTTAAGCCAAAGCATGGATGAATGTTGGTGACAAAGGCAACAGCGATTTAAAAACAGGTCGACAAAATGGTGACTGTGTAGCCCAGAGTTCCAGACGACATCTGTTGCAGCGAATAAGCTGCCGATCTTTTCCAACAATCGTATGACACAAAGGAACATTTTTAAACCAATGTGTCGAAGGCATCGGAACAACGCTGATGTTCCAACGTTTGACAGCTTTTTCGAGCTCACAGATCCCCGGAATCTATCAGCTTTTCTGACTAATAAGGAAACTTGAAAACGATCATCATCAGCAGCAGCAA